AAAAATCTACACATTACTTCACAAACTTTGTGAACGATTTTTGCTTAATAAATGAATAAATTGTTTCACATTCATTTAGTGGACTGGTTAATCCCTTGAAAACTATTCTCAATGATCCTTTCTTTTATTATAAATCAATTATATATTTAAATTTTAATCATAACCGATGTTTGCAACAATGTATTGTGCATTGATAGTCCACTGAATAGAGCCTGGAAAATTTTCCTTGATGCTCTCCCAATCTACTACTTATCATAAAGAGGTGTTCCCCGCTGGGAAGTTTTGGGGATAAGCTGTGGAGTATATCGACAATCGTTGTAGGTGCCTCGATATTGCTCCCCATCTTCTAACAACCCCGTAACTTTTCAGGCTTTATCCACACAATTTCGAATTTTCCCTTTTTAACATAATTTAGGCGGCTAAGTCCTGTATAACCTTTGCCGTAAAATGAAATTGGTTGCCACATTTTCTTGTAAACTAGGTTTGTTCTACACCTGTTGCTGCTAAGGTGCTACACATTCAATTTATTTTCAGGATTTTTCTCTTATTATTTTATGCTTACCCACTCAAGTTGTTAGTAGAATAAATTCATTCTTTACTACTTATGTTACTAATTTTAGCACGATTAAGAAAATATTCATTGATATATATATATATATATATATATATATATATATATATATATATATATATATATAGATAGATAGATATACACACATATTTTCAACAAATTCACCTTCAAACAATATTCGAATTGAACAATATTGGGATTCATGAATTATAGTAATATAAATCTTCTGTCCATCCGAAATTTTTGTATTTCTCTTTACTTTTTTAATTAATTTAATTTTAGTATTGTTATATTAGAGCCGGAGTGGCAGAGCGGGTTAACGCGTAAGCACAGCACCTCGTGTTGAAAGGTAACCTGATAACCGAAGTTGGAGACAGTAAAATAATTACGAGTTCGCGTCCCGACCCTGGGAGGTCTTTTAATTCTGTCATTAACCCTCCGCCCTCACCCTTAACACTTCCTTAGGTACGGGAAAACCCCTGTATAGCCTAAAAGGCAAGGTAGGGAAGAAAAAAAAAGTACTTTTATGTTATCGTCGTTTAACCAATGTCCATGTGACACATAAATAAATAAAAAAATAAAAAAATGTAGTACTAAATTGTGATATAGTTTAATCATTTTTGTGTCAAATTTGATCGCTCCTTTCCGTTTTAGAAGAACTATTTAATAATTGTAGGAAGAAATATCGTCAATTACCTTTGTCCAAGATTGGCCTTGTCAATAATATCGTTCTAAATTGAGTCAATGGCTACTCGAGAAAATATTTCTTGTGACTCACCCTTATTTCTTGTGGTTGTATAAAACCCATGTTTAGTTAAGACGTGTTTTTATAACTGCGTACCGGCGTAACGTATTTTTTTAAATGTAATATGGAATAGATAAGGACATTGGGGGTTTTGAAGTGTTTTCGAAAAGACTGAATAACCTAATACGGCGGTGATTCGATCTTTATCAGTGCAGGAACATTATAATCGTTTTCAGTAGCGGGATGAAACAGATTTCAGGAGTTGTGAAGTGAATAATATCATTGTTTTTGCTGTAATAAATTGTTTTAACAAAGCAAAAATATTTTTTTTAAACGTATATCAATCATTAATATGTTAATAAATATTGTTAAACCAAACTGCTGTCTCAGCAGGTCCCTCCAACTTCGCCGATAATTGATTGGATCTAGATATTAATTAATTATAATATTTAATCAATATATGATTAACGTTTACACAAAAAATATCTCTTTTAATCCCTCAGTATTTATTTCTTAAATAAAATGTTTTGACAAGAATATTTCTTTTCTTTTTATTTTAACGCATCTGCCATACATGACATTTTCAAAAACAAAATACTTTTAAAATCTTCCATTTCAAAATCACCATCCCCACATATATTATTACAGTAAGGCTCGAAATCGGTTTTGTACCAAAAGCTCCTGTCATGCTCAAATACCATGGATGGGGTGCCGTTGGATTCAGAATTTGACGGGGGTTAGCAAATCGTATTCTCCACTTTTGTTTTTCATTCTAAAATAAATAAAGTCTATACAAACATTTTGCTAGGCTTCAATACAGGAACGGTGGTAGGTCTGTAGATCGATACAGGGCAAATTGGACCTTGAAGATTTTGATGCATGTAGAAAGACCCGGAACTATCGGATCCTGCGTTTTTAAAAACAAATATTTTCGAGATAACGCAAGGCATAGGGTTCGCATTCACACAACCTTACGTTAATTGTAATACTGTCATTGAATACATGCCTCATTTTGTCGACTTGAGGCCTCTATGATCAAGAGAGGAGGAGATTATATTATTCATCGATGATGTTTTTGATCGGCAAGCCATATCATCGTTAATTTTTCACCAAAGCTCAAGATTGAGCAATTTCGAACGCTTCCTTCTCCTTCCGGCGGGCAAAATAGTTTAATCACCCCAAAAAAAGTTATGAAAGGAAACAAACTTTATTTGCGAATAACTAAAAAAGTACACATTTTCCCTGGGTTATGCCCATGATTATATAATAGATTACTAAATTCCCTGCAAAAGGAAAAAAAAACCATGAAAACCGGACAATTTTTAGCAAAGATGCAGCTTATTGAAATTTCTAAACATGTTGCTTCCAAACATTAATGAAGATTTAAATTAATTTTTGTTTCCTTTGTCGATTATATTTATCGATAAGGTAAAAATTGATTTCTTTATCTTTTGGTACGTTGCATTATTTTTTTCCCTATTAATTTGGCATTTGAAAACAATATGCTGTGCGAATTTTTTGCACGAGCCTATTAGTAATTTATAATTTAGTAATCTAATGCGGAATTGTTTAGTTAATGAAATACATTTTTGTTAATGTTTCTCATTCTTTCTACCTGCAGAAATACTTTAGCTTTTATCCCTTCCTCCCATTTTGTCAAAAACAAATTTACAGTAAAACAAATTGTCCGTAAAAAAAATTTATGTTAATCAATTTTTCATAATTGCTTTTTGTGGAAAAAATTATATTATCACAGAAAACTACAAGTCAAAACAGCCAAATAAAAAAATATACATACAAAGAAAAACTTCATCTTCTTTTCATTATTTTCTACTTATAGTTTCATTTTATTATATACAGGCTGTTGGTTAAACTGTTCCGCTCATATTAAGCCGTCTTCAATTAGGTTTGATTTCAATTTATTTTGTTCACCGGGTTTAGGAGGAAGCATAATCTTTTTAATTTTTCTTTTTAAATTCTGCATAAATTTGGCTTATGTTTCTTGAATCTGATTTGAAATTTATTTCGCATTAACCGGATTTTCTATAATTTTTATTGCTGGCAGTATGTTTCTTCGGAATATATTTATTTTCTTTGTTGACAATTTCTTCAAAAGCAAAACTAATCCTATTTTATATATATATATATATATATATATATATATATATATATATATATATATATATATATATATATATATCAAAACTTAATTGTTTCTGAATTGCTTTATTCTTTTTAAAATATTTTCTTTTTAATTAATTAACCTTAAATGAGATCATTTTTTCAGGAGTCAGATTTCCATTTTGGTTTAATTTTAGGAATTAATAGGCAAATGATCACTTATGAAAACTCTTTTTGAACCAATACTATTGAAGTAACAGTTGATAGGAAAATAATTAATAATAAATAAAAGTTTTAGTGAAATAATTAATAGTTAAATAATAACCGCAGATACGTGATTGTGAGGGGTGGAATTGATTCAACTTATATAATCATACTAAATACATTTAGGAAAAAAAAGTAAAATTTGAACGTTATATAAGATTTAAAATCGAATTTTACTTAAAATTTACAACTTATTCCACCTACTGTATTAAATCTATCTTTCACGATACACCCTTATCGAAAAATAATCTAACGAAAATTGTCTGTTGTTATTGAAATCTGGAAATTCACATTTGAATGAGTGATCCTTAGATATTTTTTGTTAAATAGTATTTTTGAAACTTAGTTCTTTATTTTAAGCTTATAATTGTTCAAGACGTTATCTGTCTAAATACAACAGCATGGAGAATCTGATAGGTCAGATCCAATTTCCTCCTAGGGGCTTTACTCGAAGTAAGCACGGTGAGCGGAAGTGGTCAGCAGATGTGTACCATGGAATTGGACAAAGTTGGATGAAATCCACAGTAAAAAAGGCCCGTTAGTGGAGTTATCAGGTTAGTCGCTTGATTGTTTCTTGTCTGGCTTCGATCCAAGCAGTCTAGTCTTTTACCAGCTTAATTCTATTTAGTTCTTTCTGTCTCAGCTGCAGCCTTAATAATGGCCTTAGTACACTTCTTATTAGAATTATATAAAGAGTGCTTGATAAAGAACATTATAGTAGATTTCTTTACTTTTTTTAAAAATCTTGCTGGGATCTATTATAGACACTAGGGATGACTTTATATCTATTTTTAAAAACAAAATCTTATATTTTGTGTTTATAAAAAAAAAAAAAAAAAAAAAAAAAAAAAAAAAAAAAAAAAAAAAAAAAAAAAAAAAAAAAAAAAAAAAAAAAAAAAAGCATATATACAGGTTACACAAAAAAGTTTTTCGGCATAGAAGTAGAAAATTTAAGTTAGGTGTTTTTTAAAGTAAGTTACGTTTCAGTTGAATAGGAAATTATAACAAAAAAAAATATATTTAATTTAAGTAATTAACAAAGACATTGCTGCAAGAAGGAGGCAGCAATTTGGAGTATGTAGCAAATTAAAAAAAAAAAAATTAAAAATTCAGTTTTCACCGAAGAAATAAAAAAAATATTCAGTCTTGTGATAGGTTATGAAGTATCAAATACAATTCACCAGAATACATACAAATGCATGCGCTTAGGTATATGCAACGGAATTTTGAATTATGGAGCTGCCTCCGGTTTGCTCCAAAGTGAATGAAAAACCGTCTGTAGGACCATTTTCTCCAAAATTAACCATATTTCAGTTTACAAGCATTCATTAACAAAGAGAGTACAACATCATTGGCATAATACATCAATGTGTACAGTTCTTCTTCAGCCTCCTCAGGATCGTTTGAAGCATCTGACGTCAACTGGTCCTAAAACCACATTTCGTTTTGCCCAACATACTTTCTGGCCAGCTGATTGACATCTTTAAACTTTTGGTTTTTAAGTGGAATGAGACAATCATAAGCTTGATGAAGGCGGTCCAGTTTTATGAGACCTGCAAGTCCTTGGTTGCAAATTTGCGCATTATCGAAGACAGTCATCCAAAAGGTCACACTGCATTGAATAATCGCTTTACAGATATATGGCTGTTCATAGAGGAATAGTTTGTACTTAGTGATTAAATATGTGTCGTTTGGTATTGTTTGGAGTAAGAACGAGGCAGCTGCATCTGTCGGATTTCTCTGGAATCAGCGGGTGGAGCTGCTTCATGTGGATGTGCAATTCATTAGAGGCACAAAGTGGACCTGCCTTATTCTGCCACCAAACCTCTCAATCGCTTAATTAGTAAAATTAGCCATTTAACGAGGACCTTTGCGCAGCTAAGCTAAGTCCTGTTTAAAAAAAATTATAAATTATTCGCGATATTTCGTTATCATCCTCCAACTATACTACAGATACCCTACTTTTAGAAAAACTTCCTCATTTAATAAGCTATAAGTCCATATGAATTAATACGTTTTTCCATATGAAAAAGTTGAAAGTTAACTTAATGTGATTTAATATCATGTCACTTTAAAGCACCCTTGTTTGCAGCAAAAATGACTACCATAAATTATTGCGTAACTTTTATTTCTTGTTTTTCCATGATCTGGAATGTATTGTAGTAAATATAATTGCATACACAATTTTTAATTATTAAAAAAAAGGTAAAAATAATGATTTTTCATGTAAAGTGGATATTAACTACGTTTGTCACCCAGATTTCTATTAGAGGAATAGATTCGTATTTTTAAGTGACAAATTAAATGTTCTTGGTCCTAATATTTACTTTTTCATGTAAACAATCGAAGCAAGCTGCAGATTTCTTTATTTTAAACGAAAATGTTAGAACTAGAAACATTTATTTCGTCACTTATAAATACGGATTAATTGTACAAGTATTAGCTATTTGTACTATCCTATCATAGTAAGACTTTAGTTCTTTAAACAATTAATGTATACCCAACAATGATTTTTTAAGGCAACTCGTTCGAATATCAAGAGTTTGGGTATTAGCCCTTTTTTATGTTAAAACTTATTAGCCGTGGATCGACCCTGGGATCGGGAGACCCTCATGGGGCACACCCAGCCTCTGGTGGTAAAGTGGGTACTCTTAATTATAAAAAATAATTAAGGGGGAAAACCTGTCGGTTGAGCGTGATATTGGCCCCATCACCTCCCTGCACAACCGTTGGCCTTGAAACAGTACTTCCTCACATAGTACTGCAGCCAAGACATGGACACATGGGTTGTAGTGGTAAGCTTTTTTTTTTTTTAAATTTTTAATTTTTTTTTATGTTAAAACAATTAATCATACTCTCTCTTTTGTTTGTTACAAATACAAGTTATTTATTATTTTCACTTAATTTCCTTTACTTTAATACTTCTTCTATTTTTTTTTTTTTTGCAAACATTTATTTATATTAATTATTATATTCAAAATGATGTATTAATCTTTCAGATGTAAGTTTTATATTTTTATTATTTATTTATTTATATTACTAGTATTATGTAATAAATACTGTACTCCTAATACTTAGTGTCCTGCATTTTGGCGGATTTTATCAATGCTCGATGAACTCTTTTTTTTAAACTTATTTATTGGGATGTCAATAAATTTCTCAATAAATTTGTCTCAATTTGTCTAAATTAAGGACATTTATAATAGTTTTCAGAGATCACATTCATACTTTACGTACAATGAATGAAGAATAAATTAAACAGCATAATAATAATACTAAAAATAAATGTATATAAACAAAATGAAACTGAGCAAATAAAAATAACAACTTTAAAACAAGCATAATTTATATACAATATTTAAAAAATTCATTCACTCAGGAGGACTCCCCCCCCCTCGTGGAAAGGCAGAACTCCAAGAGATCCCAGCGCTTCTCCCTCAGCAGCATTACTGGTTAAGGACCAGTAAAACAAAGATTGGTTAAAATTCTATTTCTACATATCCTTAAACTGAAAGAAAAAATCGAAAGTTATTTAACCCTAGTTGGGTTCCGTCGAACATTTTTTTTTCTCGATACAGAAGTGAATTTTTGTTTATTATACTTTGTATATTTCTTTATTTAGAAATATTACATTCTGTCATATCAAGGAAATTTATAATAGTGTTCAGAGAGCACACTCACACCCTTTTTACAATAAGTAAAAATAAATAATCCAGAAACTAATAATAATAAAAATAAATCTATATAAACAAAAGCGCTAACCTAATCTCACATACTTGGCTTGAGTAGAGGGTCTGGCCATTGCCATAACTCCAATGTATACTTTTTAAGACATAATTATTATAAATAAATTAATTTGCTGAAATTTTAGTCAACTACGTAAAACATTTTTTTGAACAATTTTTCCTGTTAACTGTGTCCATTAAAGAAAAATGTCAACTGTATAAATGGTTTGCTCTCCTGGTGCAAACAAAAACCCACAATTGTGGATGAACAATTCTAACTTGTGTGGGAAAAAAGTTGGCTCGAACTTTTATGATTAGAGTTTTGATGAGTGTGTTAAAAGGAAAAAAAAAAGTTTGTCGAACTGACCAGAGTAGGAGTCGCACATCCACTCCCTGCAGCAGTGGCCGGGGACCTCCACCAGCCTCGGGTGCCTGCAGCTGCTCCCCACCGGCGAGATGGTCTCCTTGGGGCACAGTGAGGCGCAGGCATATCGCCCTTCCTGCAAATTATACACTTTAACATATTTTATGAATTTAAAACATAAATAAATTCATATTATTACTCAAGGATCTAAAACTCAAGACCTCAGAACAAGAGAGCCTTAACTTTTTTTTTTTAAACTTCTTTATTGAGATGTTGCAATCTGTCACATTCAAGGACAATAGTAATAGTGATATAGAGTAGCTCATTCATACCATACAATAAATAAAATAATAAACAGCAATATAATAACACTAAGTAAATTTTTTTTTTATTAAAGAAATTTACAACTGTAATTAATAATAAATACAACAAGTAAATATGAACAAGTAATATGACATGTACAACATGAGGAGAAACTACCCATTGGTAGCACTCCAATTATATTTCTATATTAGAAGGTCCCGAGGCCATCTTCTTTTCAGACACCTCGGAGGGTTATCAGGAATAGAAGAGGAAGCAAGGTTGGAAACGAGAGGGTTCGGATGGTTCAGAGGTTTATTATGAAAGGACAGGTATCTGGATTGAGCTAAATCGGAAACATATGGTACATTAAGGTCATTATGGATGATATTATTTGGGACAAAGTAGGGAGCATTAAGGATTTTACGAAGGATTTTGGATTGTAGGGATTGGATACGAGAGGAATTTGATGGTTTAATAGAGCCCCAAAGCTTGATCTCGTCCAATAGGCCAAGTAGGCCGATAAGTCCAAATAGGCCTTATTATAGTAATATATATGAGTCTTTTGTAAATAGTTGGCAGTTTAGAGCGTTTGTCTAGTAAGTGCTGGAGTAGTCGGAAACGTCGGGCGGTTTCTAGTCGTTTCAGTCTGGTATGGGGGTTCCAAGGGAGTCGTTTGTCCAGGTGGAGTCCTAGGTATCGGATTTGCTCAACAGGGATAAGTGGAGTATTGTTAAAGGAAACTGTAGGACAGGAAGTCGTTGGTATACGACTATCGGAAACGTTAGAGATAACAAATGTAATTAAAAGAATTGGAAATATTATTGCCTTAAATATGAAAAAAATAAATCTTATGTTATTAAAATTCTTTCACTCAGAAGCACTTCGACCCAAGCCAAGCCCCTACATGAAAGGAAATGAAATCCCCTACGATATTTCAGCACCTCTCCCTCAGAGGAACTATAAACACAGACGTACATGTCTTGAGAGAAGAATTTGTCCATCACCAGAACACCGATATATGCTTTTGTACAAGACGACTCTGTCCAACTACCGCTTCAACCTTCGAGGAGGATCGAAGGGATGGGTAGGGCTAGATAGAGATAATGCAAGAGGATTTAGATGATAAGTAAGGTTTTGATTATTCTGGAAGAAGGTCTAAGACAAATGGGATATAAGGTCCTGGTGTAGGGTTCTGTTGGTTACGTAGAACGGAGGAACAACTATTATTCGAAGGACTCTGGACTGAAATAAAATTATCAATATAAGTGGCCATATCGTTGGTTTATTTTTTATTTTTTAAATCTACGATAGTATTAAATTACTACAAAACAAATATTTTAGTTGCTCATTTATTTGTATTTTCATTCTCTTTTCCCTATAATGATGGTAATATAGCATTTTTCACATGTGTTGCATTATGTTGTTCTCTGTGAGGTTAGCAAATGTAATCATGTTGATATTCCACCGTCTTTGGTATCGTTTTCCCATCTCTTTTATGTTATGCCCCCATGCATTTCACATAAATCACCAGTTTTTTTAGGAAAAAAAGTCAAAAATGTTGAGCAGGAAGTGGACTTTAAGGCTCATCATACAACTAAGAGATATCTTGAACTTGTCTATCATATTAGCTATAAGAATTTCATAGTTAGGGGTTTTCATGTTTTCCAAATACTTAGTCACAACTCCATTAAATGAAATCCAAGCCTTCTTTTCCTTTGTACCTATTGTTCGTTGCTTCGAAGCTAATAGCGAACATCATTTTACTAGTATCAGGCCTGTATGGATTGAACGAACAACAGGCAATGGCGCACAAATATTTTAGCTGTGCAACAGGACTGTTTAAAAATACAAAAAAAACGTCAGTCCACCACTAACAGTAATTATAGTGACATCCATCATCACTTCCTAATCTTTCTGCGATAAAAGATTCGTTACCTGTGATATATCAAGTCCAAATGATTACTGAAATTTCATTTTCTCCTCGAAAATAATTTTAAAAAAATATAGTAAGGTTGTTTTCTTTCTCGAAAGCAGAATACTCAAAATGAAACATGCCTTATTTCAGATGCTGTAAAGTTCAAAAAAGAAAATGTGAATTAGGGATTGTTTGTTATCAAACTTTATATGATTATCACCAATTAAAAACATCTGATATTAGAAGAAAGTTTAAGAGCGTTATTGGGAACTTTCTGATAAACCACAGCTGTTTCAAAACATTCTGGGTATCTCACTAAATAATTTGAGCCATCATACTTAAAAAATGAACTAGCCGTTCGCTCAAAACAGCGTTACGAAGCTTTTTGCAAATTGATTAAACGCATTTTATTTAATAAAGAGTCGCTATTTTTTTGTTCAAATTGTTACAAAAGAATCAATGGATCTCACCGGATAATTTGAGTCACGAAACTTAAAAATTGTTCCTGCCGTTCGCTCAAAACAGCTTTACAATGCTTTTAGCGAACGACTCAAACACCTAACCCTCGTTTCGCTTCGCTTAGTCGGGTAATACATTCATATTGACAGGTTATAGAGTACATACAACAGATATGTTTCTAGAAAAAATATGAATACGCATATTCGAACATAAGAACCTTGAAATCTTGCTAACAATTATTAAAGAAAGAAATAAAGGAATATTTAAGTACTAGCTCGAGGATATGGCGTCATATCTTCGACGTTTGGAACTTTTTTGAGCTATAGGATATTTTAAAACGGCTATTACAGGAAAAAAAAAATGATATATTAAAGGATAAAATATTCATGCTTTTTCTTGACACGTACTTACATTAAATGGTTCAAATGCCTGCTTCATGATTGAAAAAGAGAACTTATAGTGATCTGGCTTGGATGACAGATAAAAATAAATATGGATCGTTGATAAAAAAAAAAACTATCTATTTAGTTATCTATTTAATTATTTTCTACATTGTTCTCGGAGACCAATTACTTATATGAGAAGTTGAAAAGCTATAAGACGATGAATATAATTATGCTACTGACATAATGTAGCCGTTACTATGGAAATGGTACCCGATATGGCTCCCTGGTGTTCGAGGCCACGACCCTACAAAATAAAAAAATAAAAAATCTGTGTACCCTTTATCTGTGTTTCGTAGACAAACAGATTTTTTTAAATTTTTTATGGACTCAGGAGTCTTGAAAATTTAATTCCATTACAACACTTTTCTTATCTATTTAGTAACGGTAGTAAAGTAATTAAGGTGGTTATAGCACTGTTATCCATGATATAGGTATACGAATCAGTTTCACCTTTAGATATTTGAAAAAAATGAATAAAGAAAACCTAAGGCAAGAATAATTAAAGATACTTGGGTCTTAAGTCCAGAATAATAAGATAAAATTGTATACTCTGATTTCGTAATAAAATTGAAAATAAGATGAAATATAATAATAATAATTCAGGTTTTGAGTAAAACTATAAGCAAAAATATTTCCGTAATATAAGTTAAACTATATTCCATGTCCAGTGTTAAGATTTAAAAAAAGAAATAATAATTTAACATAAAATATAAAAACTATATGTATATTTATTCATTTTTAATCAAGGTTTTATTAAAGAAAAATATCAGGGATCATATTATTATACCTTTGGGAGGAGCTGATAGCAACACTAAAGAACATGTCGAGTCATTTCTTCCGTTTAAAATAAGTGCTAAGCATTTTTCTTTTGTAGATGGGAGAGAAGGAATTGTGAAATTGTCTGAAATAGATAAAAGACTGGGTAGCAGTTTTCCTTAGTCAATCATCTTTTACTTTCATAGATTTTTCGAAGTAAGAAATGCAGAGATTGATCTAATGTTTTAATTCAATGAAACTAAAAAATGTCCATTATTTCGTATTTAAAAAAAAGTATTTAGTAAGTATTAGACGTATTATGATAAATCTTTTTGACAGTGACTTGAGCTTCATTTTTGCGTATTATTGAACTATTATATTTTTATTTTTTAATGACTATGATAAAAGAATCATTATTTGAACACTTAATTTTATTCTTAAATATTAGTAATATTTTAATAATAGCACATTGGAAGAATCAATATGTTTTTATTCGATGAAACTAAAACATGACCTGTGATTTTTTTTTGTCCTCCCCTTCCTCGCCTTTAAGGCTATACGGGGGTTTTCCCGGGCCAGGGAGTGGGATTTAAAAATTCCTCCGGGCACCGGGACGCGAACTCGTGACTATTTTTTTTTTATCAAAGTGTTATGTATTAGGTTGCCGGGCAACGGCGGTGCAGTGCACACGCGTTAGCCCGTTCGGCCACCCCGCCCACACCATTATTTCATCTTTTTAAAAAATGTTTTTATGCATTGCACATAATTATGATAAATCGTTTTGATAGTGATTTCTTCATGATTCACCCCTTAACTCCCATTCTAGATATTATTGGAATATTATATATTTATTTTATTTTTTTTAAATATATAATATTCTGTCTCGTGGACAATGATTATAGTGATAAAATGAACACATTCACACCATATATACAGAAACAATAAAAAATAAAGATTGGTTCGTATCCAGCTGATGGCAGATAAATTATTTATTCTCTTTGTAGGCCGTGGATCGACCCTGGGATCGAGAGACCCTCCTGGGGCACACCCAGCCTCTATTAAATGGGCATCCTTAATTAAATGATTAATTAAGGAGGAATAACTGTCGGTTGACCGTGATCTCGGTCAAAGCACCTCCTTGCACAACCTTTGTCCTAGAAACAGTATTTCCTTACAAATCCTACTGAACTCAAAACCTTTCATGGGTTTTAATTGTACAGGTTAAGCTTTAAAGTTAAACAACAAAAAAAGGAATTA